ATACATACATATACACACATGTATGTGTTTGTGTGTATGTGCGCACATGAACTTAACTACGCACTGAGCAATTTCTGTTTTTATGTATTGATCGGCGAATTTGTGCGATTCTGTGTCCTTGTCGTTCAACCGATCTCTCTGCTGCATGTATAGGTGTTTGGGGTTGTAGGGTTTAGGGTGCATATGGGTAGCTTTCAATATTGGGGTTCCTTTTAGGGTCCTTTTTGTAAGGGTGCCGCACTATATTGGGGACCCTAGAAAGAGACCCTAATTTAGAGAACTACCCATCTGCAGGTAGTGACTGGCCAAGGGACCGTGGCCAAGAGGCGCTCTTCCAGGGGAGTCGGATCTGTGCTGTCCTCGGCGCTGGAAGGCGCAAACATCTGGATTTCGGTCTTGAGTTCTACCCGAGTTTTGTATGCTTCGATGCTTATCTAAGAGTTCTGGAAGAATTATCGGGTGCTAAATTTTGGGGCACTAGGGTATAGGACTTGCCCAAACGCAGTCTGAGAGACTACTGCCGGGTCTTGGTTTCACGGAGTTTTTGAAACGGTCACTGTCAATTAATGCAGAAGCCCAAATCACCAAGATTAGTCTTAGGGTTCCTCAAGAGAATCATTAGAAAATTTAACTAAAATGGAGCCCAATACCCTATTCTAATTTATTAAGGCCCCTGTAAGTCAGGGATGGTCCGTTCCTTTGTATTCCGAAGGACTAGGAGGTAGAAATTTCCGGCTTTGCCTTGGCTTGGGCTGCTGGGATATAGGGCTTTGGGGGTTTTTGTTTTTTTTTTAACGGACCTTTTCTCACCGCAGCAAGAAGTCAGAACGACTAGGTCGACCCCTGCATCAGTATCTCCACCACGAACTCCGTACGAACATGTAGTACTCGCAGACCTTCACCCTTGCTTTTCGCCACCGGACCGGACGTTCTCCTGCTGCTCTGCTTCCTGTGCCTGTGCCTGGGCCTCATGGTACTCATACTCCTTGGCAAGGTCAGCCGCAAACGCCTCACACTCCGCCAGCTCGACCGAGTTCACCGTGTCATCACCAGCATCGGCTCCCCACGGGATCGTCATCTGGTTGTCCATGTTGGTTCCAGCCTCGACCGGCCCACCATGGTCCATCCCCGTCTCCACGTTCAGTGCGCTGTCGTCAGCCCGGTTGTCCACCCGGGATCGGGCCAGTGTTGTTCCGCACCGACTGTGGTTCGACTCCATCTGGACAGGAGGCACTGTACCGCAGACCTTGACCCGCACTTCCAGCTCATAGGACGAGTTCCAGTCGACGTGCATGTGAGAGATAGCCGGGGTGGGGCTCTCTCCGGAAGAGGCACTCGCGCCTCGAGGTATCACTGCCACTTCCAGTCGCCGTTTTCGTCGGGGAGGGACTCCCTGCAGTTCATCCCACATCGCCCAGTCGTCCCACCCCCGACACGCTTTCGACTTGGCCGCTTCGGCAGCTCGTGCGAGCTGGTCCTCAAGCTTCTTCTCCTGCATGTACTCCTCCCACCGTTGCTTGTCCTTCTCGAACTCAGCCTCCTCCTGTCGGTCATGCCATTCTTCCTGTTCTGCCCTCCCAGGAGTAGGTGATGAGTTCGGCCCAGGTGACTCCACCTCCATCGTCTGTTCCATGGTGGTCTGCGTCACTCCACTCTTCGTCGCGACATCATTCTGGAGAGCGGCATGAAGGTCGGACCACCACGCCTGCACGAACTCGAGGTCGTCTCCGAGCAAGGGTTCGCAAAGCTGTTCGTCGTCCACGAAGCTGGCGAGGAGGGCCTCACATTCCCCAACCAGCTCATGGGCTCCATCGCGGTTGGTCTCCAGTCTGTAGGTCTCGACGAGGCGCTCCAGGAGTGCTCTGGCTCGACGGTGTGCAATCCCTTGCCCCATGGAGGTGAGGAGGAAGCTGAGCTGAGCCCTTGCACCACCATTCTCGTCCGACTCTGCTCTCCCATGAGCCGATTGAGGGTGGTTTGCATAGTGGCCACTTCGTCGGACGAACTCCCGGGTCGGTTACGGGGGTTAGGAGGGCGCCTGTATGGAGATCTGGTTCGTGAGTGTCTCTTGCGCTCCTCTCGCTCGGCTCGTAGCTTGGCATGAGGAAGGTGGTGAGGTCCGTCGTAGCCTATGTCCTCCATCTCGCGCTCCTCCGCTCGGTGGGTCATGGCTACCGGGCAGACCTTCCAGTACCACTGCTCTTTGATCCTGTCCAGGATCCACTCTATCAAGTCGTTGATGCCCTCATCCGTGGGTGGCCCCTTCCAGTCATGGAGAGGCGGCTGCACATGGTCGGAGTGAAGCCGCATAGCTCTCACTAGCCCAGTTGTGTAGATCAGGTTTTCCTCAGTCATTCTTTCATCTCCACGGCCACGTAGTCCCTGTTCAAGGAGGTTCCCGAGCCTGTGCCTGTCCACCCCTCTGTCCATTAGGGATCGCAGTTCATCAACCGCGTCCCACCACCATCGCGGTGCCGGCTGGTCTGTCCAAGGCTCATCTTTGGGGGTTTAGGGCTTTGGGGTTTAGGGCTTTCTGGGTTTAGGGGTTTAAGGTTTAGGGTCTGGCGCTTCGGGTTTGTCAACTTTTTGGGTGCTTTTCTAGACTCGTCTCGAACACATGTACACTGAATCAGGCGATAGCGTTGCGACATATCTGCGCGGCGCATAACTTTATTTTTTGCGCCCAGAGCTAAAAGGAGTCCTCGCTCATGTCTGCAATAAACACACAAAGAGACAGCTAATGAACATCCACTGTGCATCGCAACCTTGAGTGAATTTGGCATTCAAGCTTCAACGAAGTCGTGGATCGCAGCTATGGCCTGCAAGGAGCAATCGCGGCGAGTTCGTACTAGTCTGTTCACCACCATGCAGCTGTTCGTAACCATTGTGAGACTACATGGAAAATCAGATTTGCTAATAGTTGCATGAAGGCTGCTAACTGCCAACAAAAGGCGAGATTTGGCTACAGCTAATCCACGAATGCGCTGGATGACGCTGTCGGCAGCTGTACCAGCCAAGCTCAGTGCGTGACCAAACGAGAAAGACGAGAGCACTAGGCCTCTGGATTCTTGGCGATTGCGATGCAAAACCAACCGCGACATGCTCTTCAGGTCCTCATACCTGCTGCCTTGCCGTCTCGTGACGACGAAACCCGGCTACAACCCACGAAGGCCATATGCCCTAAACTCTAAAGCCTTCTACAAAGCCCCTAAGTAGGATCCTTCCAGGAGCCCTTGCAGGAACCCTCATAAAACCCTTATATGCAATCCTGAAAGCTGCTACCATAAGACCGAAAGGCGCAACTACGATGGAGACGATACCCTGAACCACTAAACACTTAATAACCCTAAACCCTCAACCCTAGCCGAAAAAATACTGAATAACTCTAAAACCATAAACCCTAAACCCTCAACCCTCGACCCCTAAACCCTGAAACCCTGAAAGGAAGGCATCCTCCGAAGGCTTCAGCAACAGGGTGCAGGAGCCTTGCAAAATACGGTTTAGGGTTTAGGGCTCGAGGATTAGAACGAGGGTCCTTGAAGAGACTTGAAGAGTTCCTTACATCTGGGTTTAGGGTTTAGGGTTTAGGGTTTAGGGTTTAGGGTTTTAATTAGTCTGACACTTACCTTCTGCACTGCAAGGTTTGGTCTAACCCTACGTAGTATAACTGGGTTTAGGGTTTGTTTAGGGATTTTAAACATTTGAGGGCCGGCAAGGGATATCGGGTATTGCAGTCTCTGGTATGCGCCTTGCGCTCGCCGTTCTCCTTGACGTTGGATTTCCTGATGTCATCCATCAAAGGGTCCAGCACCACCTGTCAAAGGATCAAAAGGTTGAGGGTTTAGGGTTGAGGGTTTAGGGACCACCTCTCAAAGGATCAGGGACTTATAAGGGGGATAAGGGCTTCCTGTCAGGGTTCCCTCAAGAGTTAAGGGCTTTCTTGGTGGTCATGTGGCTACTTGCAGCATCAAGGGACCTGGCTAGTGGGATATGATCACTAAGGTAACTTTTATGATATCTACTGCCACCCCCACTCAAGATGTGCATAACTTTAATGTAAGTAGGGCAACTTGAATGATACCTACTTCCACGCCCCTTCAAGATGCGGATCACCTTCCTTGCTAGCCTCTGGACCTAGCAATCATTCGGACTGCTGGCGGGTCAGGGGCCCGTCGGGGATGATTCGGTGTTTAGGGTTTAGGGTTTTTTTTTTTTGACACCTCTT